TCGGGGAAACCAAGCGGAGGCTTGGGGACCACTTTGCGGAACACCTACGCTCGGTTCGCACTAAACAACTGCACCTCCCAGTCGCAAACCATTTCAACTCCCCCTCCCATTCCGCAGATGACATGTCCATCCTGGGCCTCCTGCAGTGCCACAACGATCCTACCCGAAGGTTGCAGGAACAGCAACTCATATTCCGCTTGGGAACCCTGCAGCCCAATGGTATCAATGTGGACTTCACAAGCTTCAAAATCTCCCCTCCCCCTACTGCATCCCAAAACCAGCCCAGCTCCTCCCCGCCTCCCTAACCTGTCCTTCCTCCCATCTATCTCCTCCTCCCACCTCAAGCCCCACCCCCATCTCCTACCTACTAACCTCATCCCGCCCCCTTGACCTGTCCATCCTCCCTGGACTGACCTATCTCCTCCCTACCTCCCCACCTAAACTCACCTTTACTGGCTCCATCCCCACCTCTTTGACCGGTCTGTCTCCTCTCCACCCTATCTTCTCCTCTATCCATCTTCTATCCATCTTCTATCCACCTCCCCCTCTCTCCCTATTTATTTCAGATCCCCCTTCCCCTCCCCCATTTCTGAAGAAGGGTCTTGGCCCGAAACGTCAGCCTTCCTGCTCCTCTGATGCTGCTTGGCCTGCTGTGTTCATCCAGCTCTACACCTTGTTATCTTACATCAGTGTTTTAGTGGATCATTTTTAATGTCCTTTTCAGTCCATGAAAGTCCGACGTATTAAATTAGATGATGGAATTCAAAAATAATCCATATTTTACGTCACCATGACACCACATAAATAAAGGATGTGTTTTATGAGGTTCAGTGTCAGTGTGATGCCAGGCATATAAACTGCATGTCCCAATGATTGGTGGACCACATTAAACAACAAGACCCTTTGGCTGTTCACGCTAGGTAGTGTGTCAACTGTGCTCAACCAGCCTAAGCTTGCAAAATTTAGCAAGTAGTGTCCAAATTAAATGTGATACTGAAATAAAACACCATTTACTAAATAATCCTGACTGCACTAAGAATAAATTGGGAAACCAATTTAAGATTACCAGTGGTCTTGCAGTGTGATTCTTTTGTGCATGCTAGACACTACATTTATTCATATACATGATCAGGTGCATTCCATCCTAAAAGAATATGCCTACAAATTGCAACTTGAAGGACTATACAGACAATCAATCCCTGCTGTATCCCCACAGCAATGCCCTGAGCAGAATGGACATGCTTGGTTTGAATTTAATCAGTAACCTCCTCTCATGCAGTATAAACTGTTACTCTTCTAAAGTTGCTTTTTTCTCGTGTTTCAATTCTTGTGAGTGCCGGATGAAAATCTTCAGTTTCATGTCTCTTTTTACCAATGTTTAACATCTTCACATCCTTTCTAAAGTGCAATCACTAGAAGTAGAGACAAAGCTCTAGTTGTGATCCAGCCAGGACCTTAAATATGTTGAGTATAACTTCCCTGCTTTTGTACCCATTCCAATTTTCCAATATGCTTTTCTAATGATTCTCTAACTACATTCTGCCATCTTCAAAGATCTGTACACATGAACCCCAGGTCTCTCTGTCCCTGTGGACTCTTTAGGACATTTAGTCTATACCGCCTCTCCCAATTACTTCTTCAAAAATGCATCACCTCACATTTCTCTGTTTTAAATTCCATCTGCCACATGTGTATGTGCTGATAGGCTATCCATGTTCTGTTGCTGTTAAATTGATCATCTTCACTGTCAGATTCAACTCTAAATTTGAATCCACTGGCTAATTTTTAAAAAATTACTTTGTATTACAATATCAATTCATTTATACATCAAAACGAATGGTGTTTCTAGCACTCAGCCTTGGGTGTACACCACTGTCTATCAGCTTCCTGTCTGAAATAAATCATTACACCATGCCTTGATCTTTTTCCCTTCTGAAGCCAATTTTTTCAATCCAAGTTGACACTCAGACTCCTATCCATGAGCCTCAATTTTCTTATCTAGCCCTTTATGTAGTACTTTCTTAAAGGCTTTCTTAAAATTCAAATAGAGAATATACATTGATTCTTTCACAACTGTCTCTGTTAACTTCAATTAAGTTAACAACCGAATTAACTTCAAAATATTCAATTAGATTAGTGAAGCATGATCTGTCTTTTACAAATCTATGCTGGCTCTCCTTAATTAGCTCAAGTCTCCTCAAGCGCCTCTTGATCATTTCCTAAAACCTACTCATCACTGATATTAAACAGATCGACCTGTAATTACTAGGGGTGGACTTATATCCTCGTATATACTACCGTTCAATTCTCTGGCACATTCCATGTATGCAGGAAAGAGTGGAAGATTATGGCAAGTCCTGCCTTTAGCAAACTGGATTTAAGTTATCCATATCAATTAACCCATCCATTCTAAACCAGGATTTCCAGTACATCCTTCCTATTAATTGTCACCCCATCTATTACATCCACAGCCTCCACTTCTGCATCCATTTTGCTAACATCTTCTTCCTTGGTAACAATAATACAAATAATTCAAAAGCCTGGTTTTGGACCTATAAGCACTCTGTTTAACCCTAATATGCCTCTCCTTCCCTCTTACTATCTGTAAACTGTTTACAAACCACAGGAAGTTTTGGGTTCCCTTTTCTGTTAACCGCTCGTCTATTCTCATAATCTCTCTTGCCAGTTGTATTTTCCTCTTCACCTCCTTTCTTGACTTATTATATTTGACCTCATTCTCAGATGAAAAGTTCATCTGAAACACATCATACAGCCTCTTTTCTTATTCATCATGTTCAATAACTCTTCATCACCCAAAGAGTCCTGGCTTGGGATCCCTATCCTTTCCTTCTGTTGGAATGTGCGTAACCTATATCTGAAACATCTCTTCCTTAAGAATGCTGTTCCATTATAGTCCTTCCTGGCCACCTTTGGTTCCATTTTTACACTAGTTAGAACTCCTCTCATCCCATTGAAGTCAACATTCTTCCAGTTCATAAGTTCCATTGATAATCTAAACGTTATGATACAATTAAGTCTTATCCAGGTGATACCCACAGATACTTGATGACGTGGACTTGTAAACTGGGCAGGCCCAAATCAAACCTTCCAATTCAACTAGATTATTACCTCCTAAAGGCTTCCTCAAAGATGCTCTCTTTCATTCACAGAGGCACTCCTATCTCTCAACCTCTTTTACCTAATTAAATATAGCATTCACTCCCTTTAATCTCCTCCAGCTCCTACTCAACCTCCTCATGTCTTCCATCATCCCTTCCCAACTGATATTAATGTACATCTCCTCCTTTTTCAGTTCACATACAATTCCCCTTTCCCTTTCAGTTCATGATGGCATGTTTCACTAGCCTCCTTCAGTTTGTGCTGGTGCTCTCCAATTCATTTTTTAAATATAAAAACCAAAAGAACTGCGGATGCTGTAAATCAGGAACAAAAACAAAGTTGCTGGAAAAGCTCAGCAGGTCTGGCAGCATCTGTGGAGGAGAAAACAGAGTTAACGTTTCGGGTCCGGTGACCCTTCCTCAGAACTGATGGTGGCTGGGAAAATGTCAGTTTATATGCAGAAAATAGGGAGGTGGGTGGGGTAGGGAGTAAATGATAGGATAGAGCCCAAAGAGAGAGAAAGACAGTTGGACAGACAAAGGAGTTGCTAACGATCAGGCTGGGAGGGTGAGTAGTTGTTAATGGGGACTGTTAGTGACTAACAACAGGGGGTGTGTAGTGGCAGGCTATGTGGTAACAAGGCCTGGTGTGTGGGGTGGGGGGCTGGGACATGGGAGAGTTTAGGCCCTAAAATTAATGAACTCAATATTGAGTCCGGAGGGCTGTAGCGTCTCCAAGCGGAAAATGAGGTGTTGTTCCTCCAGCTTGCGCTGGGCTTCACTGGAACACTGTAGCAAGCTGGAGACAGAGATGTTGGCCAGGGAGCAAGGTGATGCATTGAAGTGGCAGGCAACAGGTAGTTCAGGGTCTTTTTTGCAAGCAGAACGTAGATGTTATGCGAAGCGGTCGCTAAGTCTACGCTTCGTTTCCCCAATGTAGAGGAGACCACATTGTGAGCAGCGAATGCAGTAGACTAGATTCTTGGAAGTGCAGGTGAAGTGTTGCTTCACCTGGAAGGTATGTTTGGGCCCTTGGATACTGGGGAGGGAGGAGGTAAATGGGCAGGTGTTGCACCTTCGCTGGTTGCAAGGGAAGCAACTCCTTTGTCTGTCCAACTGTCTTTCTCTCTCTTTGGGCTCTATCCTATCGTTTACTCCCTACCCCACCCACCTCCCTATTTTCTGCATATAAACTGACATTTTCCCAGCCACCATCAGTTCTGAGGAAGGGTCACCAGACCCGAAACGTTAACTCTGTTTTCTCCTCCACAGATGCTGCCAGGCCTGCTGAGCTTTTCCAGCAACTTTGTTTTTGTTCCATTTTTTAAATATATTAATCTTGTGGAAAATCTTGGCAAAGTAGGATTTATTCCCTACTCCTTGCTTTGAGGGCTTCACGGGTCAACCATGTTGTGTGTGATGTGAGGAACATGTAAGTCAATCTTGGAAGAATAACCGGTCCTCCTCCAAGCAATTCAGTTGGGTTTTTACAAAAATCCAGCAGCTTCTTTGGTAATATTTCCAGTGTCATAAGTTATGGAGATTTATTAAATTCAGTTTCATAATTTATCATGATAAGGTTTGTACTCACAGTCTATACTCATCCCAACAGTATCCATTTCACTTTTCTCAGTTTATGATGCTGATGCTGCAGTGACTATACGCTCAAAGTGAGCTTGTATAATCAGTTTTGAAAGGAGCCAACAAGATTTCTAATTATCAGCTAAACAAATACTGACATTAGAAATAAGTTAAAGATCCCTAATGATCAGATTTTAAATTGACCAAATAACCAATTATTTTTGAAAACAAAACTAAGATAAGCACCAATGAAGCAAATTCGATAAGAGGAACTTTAAGGGAGAACAATATCCATTTTACCTGACAATTTCTTCAGGATAGCAGTTGTTAATACCATTAATGTATTCCTGCATAACTGAACCAGGTTCTGCTTTAATCTCCTGAATCTTCTTTAGTCCACCACTTGTGACAAAAAGACGGCGGGCTTTGGCATCATGCGGTAGTACCTATTAGAGAGAATGCAAATTTCAAATACCACATATTCACATAATTTAAATAGGAGAAAGATTGTGCTTTCACTATAAAGGGAACTGAGCTGGCTATGGTTATACACGATGCAGCTCTGCTCATTTATACTTATCTTAGATTTTTCTAAACAAGCCAATATCCTGTATCCTTTCTCAAAGTAAGTGTTTAAGAATAGGTGTTGGGAACATAAAAATGTAGAAGTCAACACAGTATGGAGCCGCAGGAACACAGCAGGTCAGGTAGCAGAGGAGTAGGAAAGTCAATGTTTCGGGTCAGGACTCTTCTTCAGACTTATGAATAATATTAATTTAAAATTGTATTTTTATTACAAAGTCTATATGTTTTCTCTTTAATTCAGAAAAAAGAAGTGTTTTCTGACTTGCTGCATTGGCAAAATGGTTTTGTCACATTAAGCTTGTTAAACCCTGCGTTCATTCTAGATTTCTGGTCTCCATTAGAAGTTACCCTGAATGCAGATTTGCATCTTCTTAACATGTAGTTTAGAATTTGTTTCTTGTGTTTAGTAGTGCCTGAAATCCTTTTAGATGTAGGTAAGGCTTTGGACATTTATTTGGAATACTGCCATGCTACATCAAGAAGGAATATTATCTCAAATGCACCCAAAGGGGAACAAAATAACCTTGCATTCCAAATCCGGAGATGCTATATCCCTTTTCTAATTGCTTTAATGAAGTATATATGCATTTCATGAACACAAAATATTAATAGTACATGGAAATGGATTTATAACATGGGATGAAAGATGTATGTTATCTTGTAATGTGTACTGGAGACAGCACAGTCACATCTAGCTCTGTAATAATTAACTCACCCATTTTGCGAGAATGGATTAATCCAAACTCTTGAGATGGTACATTTATGATATCTGGTGGATATTTTGTTCTCTGGCTATATGAGTTCGGCTGGGAAACTTTGGACTTCTTTCTTCGGGAAAAGTCACAGCTACACAAAGGGGCCAAGACCCCGGATTCAAAAGTTTTCGAACAGATTTCTATCTAGCAGTATCTCAATTTAAACCAAACAATTCCAAATTTTCTCCCCAAAAAGAATATTATATCCTATGTACTGCCCTAACTTTTTTCAGTTGTGATTGTAGGGTATTATTTAAAATTGTGGATATTGTTTAACATCCATATTGATATAACCCAAGCAGACAGGTACTATCCATGGAAAGTAATTGATTGAAAACGTATGTTGGCCATTTAATAATGTTCCCTGCTCATACATCAGTTAACTTGATGAAAATAAATGACTTACAGCGGCAATGAGGACAATAGGATTTAGCCATGCCTTTGTTCTGCTAGTTTCACTCATCTACTTGTACCCAAGACTATAAGAAAGATCTTGTTAAACTTGAAAGAGTTCAGAAAAGATTTACAAGGATGTTGCAGGGATTGGAGGGTTTGACTGACAGGGAGAGGCTGAATAGGCTGGGGCTTATTTCCCCTGGAGTGTTGGAGGCTGAGGGATGACCTTATAGAGGTTCATAAAATCATGAGGGGCATGGATAGAGTGAATTGCAATTCTTTTTCCCAGGGTTGGGGAGTCCAAAACTAGATGGCATAGGTTTAAGGTGAGAGGGTAAAGGTTTAAAGGGACCTGGGGGAAACTGTTTGATGCAGAGGATATTGTGTGTATGGAACAAACTGCCAGAGGGAGTGGTGAAGATGGGTACAATTACAACGTGTAAAAGGATCTGGATGGGTACATGGATAGGAATGGTTTACAGGGATGTGGGACAAAAACTGGCAAATGGGACAAGATCAGTTTAGGATATCTGATTGGCACAGATGAGCTGCACCAAAGGGTCTGTTTCTGTGCTGTAGAACTGATTTCTGAAGAAGGGTCCATACCCGAAACATCAGCTTTCCTGCTCCTCTGATGTTGCTTGGCCTGCTGTGTTCATCCAGCTCTACACCTTGTTATCTCAGATTCTCCAGCATTGGCAGTTCCTACTGTCTCTGTATAACTGTAGGGCAGTTTTTCCACTTTTTAACTTCCCAATTTTAATTTCACATTGTACAGGAAGGCTGGATAAACTGAACTGATTCTGAGTTTGATTTGAATGAATTTATTCTTCCTATACTTCTTAATATGCATAATTTAACCTTTCGCACTTCACCACTGAAAACCTTCAAGTTGGTACTTCTAGTAATTGATCAACTTGATATAATCCTTCTAAATTTCTGTTGCAGTTATCAGTATGTTCACTTGCAAAATATAGTTAACAATAATGCAATAGTACTCAATTGAAATTAATTTGCATCTCTTCAAGTTTCAAAGGGAGCCAGTGTGTCCATCAAACAAAGCTAATGTTGCCTGTCAAACAAAACTGAGGTGCAAAGGTGTTATGCATTTAAAAGGGCTCAAATTGCAAATTATTTTTCCATCCTCTGGATTCCACTATCCATGTCTACTGAATACAAAGCAAATAACCAGCTATCTTGATGATGCCGGCTATAGATCTTCAGAAATGTTAAATTTTAACCCTTAACTTCTAAATTGTATGTTAACCACACGAACAAAGATAAAAAGGTGTGTGATTGTTAAATGAAGTGCATAAAAGATAATGCATGGGTGTGGGCCTAAGATGGATCACTGATAGTGCTTCCTCGATTTGGGTCAAAGTGTCAGTCAAAGACAGATGGGTCAAACCAGTTCTCCTTATCATTCAGTGGCATGACCATTGTTGAAGCTCCAACCAGCACTACCTTGTGAGTAGCAATGACCAGAAACTTAACTGGAACAGCCACATAAATACTGAGGCTACAAGGGCAAGTCAGAGGTTTGGTATTCTCACCTCTTCACTTCCCAAGACTCTTTATCAAGTTTAAGCCATAAGTCAGTAATGTAATGAAACATTGCATGTATGCCCGGATTATTGCAGCTCCAACAAAGGTCATGAAGTTTCAGATCATCCAGATAAGACAGACTATTTGGTTGAGACTGCATCTAGAAGCATTAATGTTTACTTCCTCCACCATCAACCCACCTTGGCTGCAGTGAATACCATCTACTAGATTAACTGCAGCAACTCATCAGAATTTCTGCAACAGGACCATCAAACTGCGACTTCTATTGCCTAGAAGACCAAGGTCAGCAGGCACGTGGGAATATCAAGTTCACTCCAAGTTACATACATGCTTCTTGGAAATATATCATTGTCCCTTTGCTATCTGCAAATTAAAACCTTGAAATTCCCTACCTAACTTTGCATCCATTTAATCCACAGACTGCAGCAGTTCAAGAAGTTGACACAATGGGTGGGGGGGCAGAGAAGGGTTAGGAACAGGAGTTGGCCATTCAACCCCTTGAACCTGCTGTGCATTCAATAAGATCGTGGCTGATATGTGGCCTCACCCCATAATACCCTTGCTTAATAAAAATTTGTCCATCGAAGATTTAAAATTTAACAATTGAATTAGCATCGACTGCTATTTAAGGAAGTGAGTTCCAAACCTCCATTACTCTTTGCATCTAGAAGTGCTTTCTGACATCCCTCCAAAATGGCCTGACCCTAATTCTTAGTCTATGTATCTTGGTTCTAGAATCGTCAACCAGTGCAAATAGTTTATCTTTATCAACCCTATCTTTCCCTGTTAATACCTGAAGACCTCAATTAAGTCACCCATTAACCTTCTAAATTCTAGAGAATAAAGGCCTAATTTAGAGTTATAGAGCGTGGAAACTACTCCTTCAGCCCTTGACCTGCAGAACAGCCTTCCTCAACATCATCACCCAGCAACCTCCAGCTCTGCCTTCAAAACCTCCTTAAAACTATTCCCTCCAATTGTGCTTTTGACTGTGTGATATTAATGGAGATTTTAATCTTAACCAAGACTGGGAAAGGCAGACAACCACCTGCCAGGAAGGTTATGAATTTCTAGAATATATCTGGGATAGTTTCTTATGACAGTATGTCTTGGATGCGACAAGGGGATAAGCAATATTGGATCTAGTAATGAGCATAGAATCATGGAATTCCCCGTGGAAGCAGGCTATTCAGCCCATTGACCCTCTGAAGAGCATCCCGCCCAGACCCACCCCATCCCTTTAATGTCATTTCTTATGGCAAATCCACCTAGCTTGCACATCCATGGACACTATGGGAAGTTTAGCATGGCCAGTCCAGCTAACCTGCACATCTTTGGGCTGTGGGAGGAAACCGGAGCACCCGGAGGAAACCCACGCAGACACGGGGAGAATGTGCAAACTCCACACAGACAGTTGCCCGAGGGTGGAATCGAAACTGAGTCTCTGGTGCTGTGAGACACCACTGAGCCACCATGCCGCCTGTCAAATTAAATTCCACCAGCTGCTTTGCTGGGATTTGAACCCTTGTCTTGCAGTGAGTTAACTTGGGCCCTGGGCTACTAGTCCAATGACATTACCATCATGCTTAGTTGAGGAGAAAGATGGACATATCTGAGGCAGAGGAGGGTGATGGTGGATGCTGATGGTGGATGCAGATGGTTCAGCTGGGATTCTCCCCCACACAAATTCCCACCTCATCATCCCCTAAACCCATCCAGCCTACTTCTACCTTCTTCCCAAAATCCACAAACAGGACTGCCTGAGCAGACCCATCATTTCAGTCTATTCCTGACCCAATGAATTCATTTCTTCCCAACTTGCCATGATTTGTTCTCCTCTTGTCCAGAGTCTTCCCACTAATACTGTGATTCTTCTGACATTTTATGTCAGTTCAGTATTTCCAATTTGAGGTCACCAGCCACCTCCTCTTCACCATGGCATTGCAATCCTTCTACATGTACATAACCCATCAGGATGGTCTTGGGGCTCTCTGCTTCTTTTTTGAAAGTAGGCCTAAATCGTTTCCATCCACCACCACCACCACCACCACCATCCACCCGGTCAAGCTCACCCTGACTTCGAACGACTTCGCCTTTAACTTCTCTCACTTTCTTCAGATCAAAGATGTTGCTATCAGTACCCA